GAGAGAGAGAGAGAGAGAGAGAGAGAGAGAGAGAGAGAGAGAGAGAGAGAGAGAGAGAGAGAGAGAGAGAGAGAAGTCAGAGGTCAACACCCCAGCAGAGAATTCTTAGGCCCATACTGCACGAGAAGTCTGCAAACTCCTGGAATGGCCTTAAAAAATGTCTCAGGGGCATGGAAACGCTGAACTCAAGTCTTCACCAGAACAGAACCCCCAGTCATTATAACTGTATTTGGGGCAAATTCATGTGTACATACTGCGATATTGACCGGGTGTTCAATTCGAGTGAAGACGGTAGGCAAAAAATGCTCAACCAACTTAACAAACACATGAAATCAGCACAACTTAACCTTCGTGCCACGGCCAGAACGCTAAGGTAAACACACTGAATTCAGGGAAAGAGAGAAAGGAAGAGAAAATGGGATTGACTTAGAAAAATTATGCTTTTTTGGCAGACTCCCCACAGCTTAACCTTAGTCCTCAGTTCCTTAGTCCCATAACCCAAAACACTCTGACTTAGAAAAATTATGCTTTTTTGGCAGACTCCCCACAGCTCAACCTTAGTCCTTAGTTCCTTAGTCCCATAACCCAAAACACTCCATTTGCTCTTTTTCTCCTTTGCGCTTCAATCACTCATTCTCTCCACAGCAGCTTTGCCATTCCATCACCCACAGACCAATCAAACTGTCAGATTCCCCCGTCTCGCTTCACACCCGGTCTCTGTGATAATTTTGGAAAAGCCCGCCACCGTCCACCTGCCAAAGCAAAACAGAAAAAAAGCCAGGATGTGTTACGATCCTGGCTATTTCCGAAGTGCAAATTCACAAGGAAAGACAATGCCACCCAATTGAAAAAGAAATGAAAGCACTTGCAAAGAGATAGAGACCAAAGAGGAAAGAAAAAGAAGATAGAAAGAAGAAGAAGAAGAAGAAGAAGGTATACACCAGCCAGACCAATGACAAATCTGTTATGACCCTGGCCAATTTCGAGAACACATTCATCAGATAGCACAATGCCATCCACTTCCAAAAGGAAATGAATGAACTTGAGAGGAGGGAGAGGGTTAGGAGAAGAAGAAGAAGAAAGAAAGAAGAAGAAGATGATGATGTACACCAGCATAGACAAATGAGAAAGCTTTTCTTCTTCGCCAATCACTCTCCTACTCCTTATCTCGTCCTCTCTTACTCACACAAGAAATAATAATACGATGTTGAATGGCTGAACCAGAATCAATGTCCGAATCCCTCTTCTACTGCAGGTATCACTTGAGGTCCACCATAGCCATGGCCGCCTCCCACACTCTTCACTCTCATAGGCCGAGGCTATGGCGGACTACTAGGTCTTGCCCAGATGCCCAAAGGACAACCCAAGGCAGGTATGGCTGCTGTAGCTCAGGCCGCCATGCCTGACTCTGCCTCGAAGCTTCTTGGTGTAGCTCTACCCCCAGCTGGGGCCTTCCTGCTGCAGCGTCCACCAAGGTGATGAAGATGGTTGCCACCATTGCCAGGTAAGTACCTATGGCGCTCCTCCCTAGCCTTGGCCTTCTTCCTCCTCCATGTCCTTACTCCTTCCCCAGCAGCACTGCTGAGTGCTAGCGCTGCTCCAGCCAGCGAATCAGTGTGTCGCCAAACTTGCACACCGACAATGAGGCTGGGCTCTTCGCCCCGCCTGGAGATATAGCGGCCTGCTTGCCTCTTGGGCGGTGACTTCCAGGCCACTCGGCCTTCCAAGCAACTGGTACCTCCTCCCTTCCGGAGGGAAACATCATTGCAGACTCTGATATTGTCCGTACAGGCCCTAGACTCAGACTGGTTGGACTGGTACCCGCCTAGACCTAGCCTACAACTACTGGGCCTCTAGAAATGCCACTTTTGTCTTCTTCTGCCCGGCACATCTACCTCTTCAGGGTGTGGTACCGGCCTACCTGCTACTTGAGTGTTTTCCCCCGCTGCAATCAGCAATGTCACAGCCACAGGTAAGTACCGGCCCTGAGGGCCCAACGAACGAACAAGTGCCCTTGCGGGTCACACACACACTCAAGCCATCAAGCACTCAGACAGACATGCAGACCAGCAAGCGTGCACACACACAGACTTAGAGAACTTAGTAGCAAGCGGGAAACTCAGCAAGGCATTCAGTCCATGGGCAAAACTCAGAAATCAGCTGTGTGTCTCAGTCCGTGTTTGGTCAGCTCATCACAAATCCCCCTTCTCTCTCCACCTTCCTCCTTGCCCTTGTCTCCACCAATCTTATTCTTCTCCCAAATAATAATAATAAAAATGAGTGGTAGAGCCAGAATCAATATCCGAAGTTCCCTCTTACTGCCAGCATAACAGTAGGTCCAACGTAGCCATGGCTTCCCCTCTTCTTCTTCCTCTGACATGTCAAGGGTATGGCGGACTACTAAGGGCTCTGCCGTCCTGTGCAAAAGACAACTCAAAGCAGCTATGGTCGCTGCTCTTCAGACCGCCATGCCTGACTCTGCCTCGAAGCTTCCTTGGTGCGGCACTACCCCCACTGGGGCCTTCCAGATGCAGTGCCTAACAAGGTGACGAAGACTGTGTCCACCATAGCCAGATAGGTACCTCGCCACTCTCCTCCTTCGCCCCCTTCTTCCTCCTCCTCAAGCTGGGCTGCTCACCATAGCCAGGCAAAGCGCCCAGCTGCCCTTCTTCCTCCCAGGCAGTGCTCTGAGAAACAGCGCCCACTCAAGCAGTATGTCACCCAACCTTGCATACCGCAAATGAGGAGGAGCGACTTGCTCCTCCTGGAGATATAGCGGCCTACTTGCCTCTTGGGCGGTGACTTCCAGGCCGTACACCCTCCAAGCAACCGGTACCTCCTCCCTATCGGAGGGAAACATCATTGCAGGCTCTGATATCGTCCGTACAGGCCCTAGACTCAGGCTAATTGGACTGGTACCCGCCTACCTCTAGCCTACCGCTACTGGGCCTCCAAAAATGCCAACTTTTTGTCTTCTTCTGCTTGGCCTCCAGTTCCCAGCACTTCTACCTCTACTTGAATATCGGCCTACCTCTTACTTAGTGTTTTTCTCCCGCTGCTCTGAGTGTCGCGGGCCAACTATCATAGGAAGTTCGTAAGGAACTTTTCCACTATCGCTGTTCCCTTTCGCAGACTCCTAAAGAAGGAAGCAGTCTGGAAGTGGGACCATGATTGCTCCTCGGCCCTAAAGAAGCTGAAGAGGGCCTTGGTAGCGTATCATGTCCTCAAAGTAGCCAATCCTTCGTTGCCATTTGTCGTCACGACAGATGCTAGTCAGTATGGCATAGGTGCTGTATTACAGCAAGACGACGTCAATGGCTATCGACCCGTAGAGTTCATATCAGCCAGGCTACCTTCAGAAAAGGTAGCAGCGTCAACATACGAGAGAGAACTCTACGCTCTCAGGCAGGCCTTAGATCATTGGAGGCACTACCTGCTTGGGAGGCACTTCAAAGTCTATTCAGGCCACGAAACCCTAAGGTGGCTGAAGATGCAAGCCAAGATGACGCCCAAGCTGACTAGATGGGCTGCTGAGATAGACCAATTTGACTTTGAGCTTAAGCCCGTTAAAGGTAAGTACAACGGGGTAGCCGATGCTCTAAGCAGAAGAGCAGATTACTTCGGCATGATAGTACACTATCTGGATATACGGGCGGGCCTGCAGCAAAAGATAAAGTATGCGTATGTTCCACACGTGGTTAACGGGGCAGTTTCAGCTCCTGACTAACAGGCCCAAAACTGAAATTAGGGTTTGGGGGTCAATTTTGTTTTATTATTTTTTTTTTTTGCCTGTTTTTGTTTTGGTTCAAGGTTGTTGTGTACCAAATTTGGTCTCATTTGGAGCATTGGAATTCCCTCTGCTAAGATTTCTGAGATTCCAAAAAAAAATTAAAACTGAATGTTGGCGAAATTTGCATGAAAATGCACTTTCGCCTTGCTGTTTTATAGGGTTTTTTTTTTTTTTTTTTTTTTTTTTTTTTTTTCTTTTTTTCTTTTTTTCTTTTCTTTTTTGCAATTAGTTAGTGAGGTCTCCACTCTATGAATTGGTGGCAAGTTTGGTTAAAATAAGCCNTTTTTTTTTTTTTTTTTTTTTTTTGCACTTAGTAACTATGGTATCTACTCTATCACTTGGTGGTAAGTCTGGTTAAAATGACCCTTGGATTTTGTTATAAATGGCATGACAAGTTATCTGAAAATTAGGGTCTCCGTTAACCGCCTCTCGTAAGCTCAGGATCCAATTTACAGCGACTTACTAAAACATATGAAAGAAACCCTTGATTGTGAGCCCAACTATCGAACCACGAACGGGCTACTGTTTGAGAAGACCAATGTTGTTGACAGACTGTGCATCCCCAATAATGAGGAGATCCGTAGCTTGATCTTAGGGGAGTGCCATGATATAGAAGGGCACTTTGGTTGGCAAAAGACCTTGGCCAACCTTATGATGTCGTATACATGTTCCGACGTGAAAGCAGACTGCATAGAATATGTTCGCAGCTGCAAAGTCTGCCAGTGCAACAAGACAACGACACGAGCGCCATTAGGCCTTCTTCGACCCTTGCCTATTCCAACAGGATCCGGAGAGTCTGTTTCCGTCGATTTCATGGATACTGGAGTCAGGAGTAGGCATGGCAAAAGCCAAGTCATGGTCATAGTAGACTGATTTAGCAAATATGCAGTTTTTGTACCACTGCCTGCAGAGGCAAGAACCGCCTTAGTCATAGCAAAGTTCTCTGATTTCTGGGTAAGCGAGCATGGCATACTGCTGTCAATAGTTAGTGATAGAGACACACGGTTTACCAGTCAGAACTGGCAAGATCTTATGAAGGTCTACGGCTCTAAGCTATTGATGTCGTCAGGTCATCATCCAGAGGCAAACGGCCAGACAGAGCAGATGAATAAGATCTTGCAGCAACTACTCAAAATGTATATTAGACCAGATCAAATAAACTGGGATGAGATGCTTCCCAAGGTAGCTAGCGCTTATAACAAAAGTGTACATCTAGCTACCTGTCGAACTCCCAACGAGCTGCATAAGTCCTTTCGACCACGTAGGTCGTTCGAAGGACTGAACCGGGACCAGATTCAGAGGTCACCTCTTGATACTAGAGAATTTGCTTCGCAACATGAAAAGGAAGTTGCAAGGGTGGTCGAAAACCTTAGAAAGGCCCAGCTTCTCATGATTGGGCAAGCAAACAAGCATCACCGACCTTCAGAGTTTCAATTAGGCGACCTAGTGTGGGTCAAGTCTAAAGAATTCGCACCAGAGGAAAACATCTCACAAAAGCTCTTGCCCGCATACAGAGGGCCATGGCCTGTCCTAAAAGTCAAAGGGGGAGAGGACGGACCATCGTACACCATAGAGACTAGCTTAGCGCCCGCGGTGCGGGCGGTGCGGCCTACACCCGCAACCAAAAAGCGGGAAACGGCATGCCGACCGGGAAACGACACCCCACCGGGAAACAAAAAGAAAAGAAAAAACGAAACGACAAAACGACACACCCGACCAACAAAAAGCGAGAAACGACACACCCACGGGGAAACAAAAAGAAAAGAAAAAACGAAAAGCGGGAAAAAGAAAAAGAAAAAAAGAGGACCGACACGCCGACCACGAAACAAAAACGAAAGCAAAAACGAGAAGCGGGAAACGACAGGCCGAAAACAAAAATGCAAAAAGAAAAAAAGGCCGCCCGCTTATCGACGGCAGCGGCTTCAAGATATTCCCTCACATCTACTCCCACCGCCGCCTGGCCCTGTGGGCGCGCTCACTCGTTTAATGGCGCGCTGTGAACATTTCGGTACGCTCGCCCCTCTGCACACTCTCCCGCCCTGGATCGGCTTCATCCACCGGCCCTCCTCAAAACTTCGACCCCAAATCCGGCGCGCAGTGGACCATCAACCTCCTCCCCGCAGCCAATGCTGCTTAAGGGGTAGCATACCACCGCATCTCCATGCTTATCCGGTCTTCCATGCGTCAAAGTTGTTGCCATGTATGACCAGCGAACAGTTTCCTTCACGGAGATCCATGATCCCACCAGATATGGATGGCGCATACGACATAGACCGCATAGTGGAAGAAGACGTTTTTAGGACTGAAGGTCGGGGTCGTCCCCAGAAGCAATATGCAGTTAGGTTTGCTTACCAAGAACCTGAGGACGATAGATGGTTCACCAGAACTGAGCTTCTATAGATCACTCCCGACATAGTGCATGCCGACAAGAGGGCAAAGAAGCGTAAGGGTCCTGCCTTGGATTAGAGAATTCTCAGAGGACCTCGAATTTAGGACGACGCGACAGTACAGATCCGAGGGCTCAATCCCTAGACCTACCCATACCCACTGTACATCTACCTGTTGACCCTGTGTGCCTTGAACCCACGACCTGTCCCTAAGGTCGTAGGTCGTCGTTTTGCACGTTAGTTGGGTCGTGGGGACTTGAACCGTAGACTATAGGATTAGTAGTCTTAGGGTCAGTCCGGTACGTACAGCGAAGGGTCAGTCTACATTATCCTAGGAGGTTCTAGAAGCGTCAACTTGACCTTTCGAGACTGTAGAAGTCAGTCGGCCAGTCTACCTAGCCCAGTCAGCAGTTCCCAGTCCCAGTCCACCTTGTCCAGTCAGCACGTACCAGGTGGCGCTGCACACGTTTGGGCCTGGGGCCGGTGGCAGGCCAGACCAACAGCAAAACAGTATAAATAAAGAGGCAGCGCTCGGCCGTTCAATCATTCACCTGCGAGCCATGCGGAAGTGCTGCTGGTGCAACTTGGGAGGTCTGCAGGTGCCCGACGACGAAGAGGGCAGAGGTGGATGACGACGGCCATAGCCACCTAGAGGAGGGAGACGACGGCGGCCATACCCGCCGAGTGTTGACGTCAGTAATGTGTAGCCAGTGTGTGTGCAAGGGTGCGTGGACATTCAGGGTAGATCCTAGTGCGTGCGTGCATGTGTGTGAGCGAGTGAGAGTGTGTCTGACGCAGTGTTCGGGTGGGAATTCAGACAGCGTTCAGCGGCCATAGCCGCTAGATGTAACAAGTTGACTAAAGCTGTGTTCCTGGCCGAAGGCCATATCTCTGAGTTTTTTGTGTGGGCGCTAGACGCCATCTCAAGTTTGTTGCCGATCTTCCTGTTGCAGAGGTTGTTTGCCATCGGCATCTACATGTATGCATGTTGGGAGTGAAGTTTAGACAAGTCTGATTGCACCTCCCAAGGCCACAATTCATTACTTATGGACCAGACTTCAGAAAAGCTATGGAAGAAAAGAAAAACATGGCTTGGCAAGTAGGCAGGCGACAGGAGAGAAGTACACGTTCGATAGGACTTGTGGAAGTGAGAAGCAGCCTTGGCTTTTCTTTCACGTAAATGTGTTCACAGAACTATTAGGCACAGCTAACTGAGTTATTAAACCTCATAACAATGCATCGACCACTGTTCTCCATCGTCAGCCTCAGGTCATCACATACTTATTCACGCCAGAATTGAAACGGAGTATAATGATCCACCTACCACCCCCTCATAGAAAAAGGCTTGCGTCATCATATATTTATTCACCCCCGACATTGAAAATGGAATACAGGTCTGGTAGGCCCATATCCTCTTCAGGAAAAGGCAGTTTCTGGCAGTCGCAATCGACCAATCTGATCCATTGATCAATCAATCGGCTCAATTGATTAATCAGTCTGATCGATAGGTCAATCCACCGATCCAGCATGTGAGCAACCAACACATTCATCAACCAACCCAGCGACTGACTGCCTGACGGACCCACTGACTTACCGACCGACCAGAGCAGCAGATCGGTCAACCCAGTGAATGGTTGACCGACCAACCCGAATGGCCGACTGGCCAACAGTCTGGATCAGCCGACTGGCCAGTCGGCCAACCCACAGACCGATCGACCGACCAACCAGCTGATTGGCCGTCTGACTGGACAAGCAACACGTTGACCGACTGACCGGCCAACCGACAAACCCGCAGGCTGACTGACCAACCGACCCACCGGCTGACTGACCCACCGATCCGCCAAGTGACCAACCAACCAACCAACCAACCAATTTTTTCACACAAAGAGAAGCAAGAGGCTGATAATATGCATGAGGAGTGTGAGGCGGGTACCTATGCTTGCCAATGAGGCGTGGCGCGCTTCCGCTAGAATGACATGTTGCACTTGATCTGATCCAAGCAGATGGAGGCAAAGATGACAGACACCTGCAAACTGTGGAAGGCCATATGCTCAGGAATGACGCAGGCGTCTTCGAGAATAAGTCCATGCCTTGAAGTCGGAAACATCAAAGAGCTCCATGAACTGTTGATCCAGCATGCGAACTTTTGTTCCAGCAAACCGCCGATACTCATCGAAGATTGACGTCAATGACCAATTCTGGAATTTTCTCAGACATCCAACCAGGCATCCTGTTCGATGCTGCAGGCAACAAGTTCATGCACATTCACACACAAAAGGAACGATATCAAGTAAACAGACGGGCTCTTCATCTCTTCATATTTTGAGGAGTGCATCTTCGTATAGGTGATGGCGTGGCGAGATACATTAACCCCCTCTTCAGGTACTTCTGGTAATTCAGGTATCAACTCTTAACGAAAGGAACAAAGCATCAACTCTTAACGAAAACACCGCCCAATCCTCCCGTCTTCAGGTACTTCTGCCTTTACCCATCACCTACCCAAAACGACAAACATAAAAGAAGAAGCTATTTGACGCGAGGCAATGGAAAGAAGTGGCTGTTGAGACAGCAGAAATGAGAGGGAGGCAGAGTGTGGCATACTGCGTAGCCACACGGGCCCTGCAGGGCCCGTCCCGGACATTCAGCCTAAAAACCTAAAACTTAGGGCTTACAGGCCCCGTTCGTTTCAGCCTGAAAGCTGAAAAACGAGGGCCTGCAGGCCCTACCCCGTTTCAGCCTATTTCTGGGTCTTTTCAGACCCAGAGTTTTCAGCCTGAAACGGAGGGCCATTTTCAGGCCCTCATTGTTTCGACCTGCCCCTAAGACTCAGGCACGTAAACAGGGATGCGGAACAGGCCAGAAATAGCCTGTTCCTCACGAGTT